ATTATTACAATCATAATGCCATTTAGTAACTTGAAGGTTGGTGCTGTGCAGGCAGGCCACCTGGACTTGAATTCTAGCTCGCATCCCCAGCACTTCCTTTTATAAATTTTATGACTTGGGAAATCTGCTTAACCCCACTGTCCCTCTATTTTCTCCTTTGTGAAGTGAAGATAACAATTGGCTGTTGCACAGGTAAAATGAAATAATATTTGTAACATGCTTAAAATAATGCAGGGCACCAGTGTATGTTAGCTGTATAGCTAATTCTAGATATACCTTTAAAATTCTTTAGAAAGTTTTTTCCATAAATATTTTTAAATTATTTATTTATTTCTCCCAGTATTAATACATTATATTTTGGTCCAGTAAAAGTTATTACCATATGAATTCTCATTGACTAGTAGTTTTCTGTTTTTCTGTACATTAAATGTTTTTCTTCCCCTCCAAAAAAAAAAAATCCTTTGAGAATGCTATAGATACATATTTTGGGTGCTTTTAAAAAAGTTATTATAAGTTTATTTGGTATTTGAACATGGATATTACAATAATATTTCCCACTTTATACTCCAATAACTATACTAACTATAAAGAAATGGCTCTTCATGCTGCATCAAAATGAAACTTTAATTTATTGTTTTCACTTTTCAAACGTAGACATAGAGAGCAGAAGTAGAAACTGACTCATTTAACCATTATTTTAATAAAATACAATAATATATGTTAGGCAGAATGTGGCCACATGTGGGAAATATGAATTACTGCAAGTCTCCATGGGAGGGAGTTACCAATGTTGTTTAGTTCTACTTTTTTCTAGCTAGTCTGTCTCATTCAACCTGCCTAATTCTTTTGTTTGTTTGTTTGGAGAAGTTTTTTGCTCTAGGGCGCATGCACTTGCCAGAAAGACAGAGAGAGACAGAGAGACAGAAAGCGAGAAATCACCACCTAGGGGGGATGGCCATGCTGCAATCCCTTCTCCTCCATTCTCCTCTTTGGATCTTGGGCACGCATGCACACGCACCCGGCGTGAGTTTAAGTCACCAGGTCTGGGACACAGCAGTTGACTACTACATGGGAGTCCAGCGACATAGCCATTATGCTAACTGCTGGTCCCAACCTGCCTAATTCTTTAAAATTGTTTTTAATTTGCATTTAATCACTAAACATCTTTATAGAATACAACATGGTTTTTCCCAGTAGAAATACGTTGCATATTAGTCAAGTCAAAGATATTACCCTATACGTTATCATCAACAGATATCTATTTTTTTTTTAGTTTATTAAATGTTTTGTTTTTTCCCTGGTCCCCTCTCCCACCCCTTATTACCCATCCCCTATTACCTACCCCCTTCTATACTGTCTGTAGTTATCTACAGTTGGTCTCCTTGCTGTTATACCTTCCAATCTTTCAGTTTCTGCTATGGAGTCCAGAGACATTCAGTATATGTTAAGCAGGGACATACAGTGCCTGTCTTTCATAGTCTGTCTTCCTTGCTTAGCATTAAATCTTCCATATTCATCCACTTTCTATCAAATGCCAGGGTCTTTGAGCAGTTCTCAGGCAGATATAAATAATGTAAGGATTTCCTGTTAGAACTTCCATTTTCTCTAACCTGGTAGATCAGATTATTAAGCCCACATTTTGTAAAAGACACTAGTCAGATTTTCCCCATGCATGTGTAGACATAGATACATTGGTGTGCACTTGCATGGTTATTGAAGCATTTAAGTACTTAATGGTTGCCCATTACAGGGAAGCAAATTATCATTAGCAATAAACATTTATTGAACACCCACTGTAAGTAAAAGTTGTATTTGACAAGCAGAAAAGAGAAAAATTATCTCTAAAACTTTCTCCTACAAAGGACCTACAATATGTATAAAAATTGATAAGCCAATTTTGCAAATAACTCAATTAAAAAAAGACACAATTAACAATATGATGTCTAGATAACCAAAATTAATTCAGTATTAAATATACAAAGAAGGTACCTAGGAAACAGGGCCTAGGAAGTCTAGAGGAAAAAACAGTTGTCCATACCTTAAATTTGTAGATCAATTAATGTACTAGTAGCACGTAAGCTGAGTTAAGATTAGAATTCAGGTTATGAATGTCTTTTGATTTATCTAAGAAGTGCTATAAACACATTAAGTACAAGATGGTAATTTGACTTTACTATTGGAAATCTTTAGAGCATTCTTGAACTAACTGTGTTAAGAAACATAAGGATATACTGTACTTACTAATGTGTGTTTCATTAAAATATATTCTGTTTAACAGAACCAATAGTTCAGCCATTAATATGTTTTTTAAAATATACTGTATTATTTATATTTGTGTTTATCTGGATTTTTTCCCTATTAAGCACTAATTGAAGAATTGAAATATTGAGAACATTGGCATGAACATTTTGTGAGATTGAGATAAGGGACAGGACAATTTCTCTTTCATATTATATCAGGGAATTTCTGACCTTGGTAATCACATACCCTGTTTAATTCAGTAATTATCTAGGGAGTGTTAGTCCCATCAAAACTTATACAGCATTTGAAAATTTTAAGTTAATTAAGAACAATTCTGTTGTGAAATTCATTATCTTTTAAAATAATTACCATACATTCTATAGTACGAGGAGTCTTCAAAAATTTCATAAAAATACATATTATGAAAGAAGTGATGCATAGATTTAAAACATTTTTGTACCAAACTGACTTATACTTTAATTCAGTTTTTTACCATAGGGCATGTGTGCTTCCAGAGAGAAACAGAGACACAGAGAGAGGGAAAGTGAGAAATCACCCACAGAGGGGTAGTCATGCTGCAGTCTCTTCCCATCCACTCTCCTCTAGGGATTTTGAGCACCCACACATGCACATGTTTTTCAGGCTGCCAGGTCTGGGACTTGAACTGGAGTCGACCATGTGGGATACAGCGCCTTTACTACCATACTACTAGCTGGCCCCTTTAATTCTATTTTTCCACCTACTCTTTTATGCTGAGGGTGCATGCATGTGAGACGGGGAGAGAGATAAAGTACCCTCTAATGGGGCTTGATCATGCTATAATTCTTTTTCCTTCAGTTCTCTATTCCTTCAGGATCCTGGGTGTGTGTACATGTGCCTGCGTGATTGTTAAGCTAGAAGAGTTTGTTTAATGGGCCTTGAACCCAAGTAGACCATGTAGGATCTAGCTTCCTCTACATAGCACCTAATTGGCGTGCTTATTGTACTTTAAAATTAATACAATAATTGTGCATATTTATGGGTTACATTGTGATATTTTGATACCTGTATGCAATATGCAATTGGTGTACTTTGGGGTCAGCCCCTCTAAGAACTTTTTACAGTCCCTTCGTATCCTAGAACCAATGGGAATCATTGTTAAATTCATGTAAAAACAATTATTTCATTAGATCTTTCATTAGGCCATAAATACATCATGCACCTTCCTAAAATATCACTTTTCTCTGGTGGACCCGTGGGACAAAAGTTTAAAATTTGATTTTAGCTCACATGGTTATTAGGTATCCCTCAATTTATGCTTAAATATTGGTTAGAATAGTTGAATATAGAATGAATATTGATGATGAGAATCTTGTTCTGATGTAAGCTTGCATGATAATATTTGAACTATCTTCCTGCGTTTAAAACAAAATTCTAGTAGTGTGAAATAACCTCTTGGAAACATGGTGTATCTTTCTACTGGTAGAGCAGGTGGAGAAATTTCTTACTGTTCTCTAATCTATTCATTTTTATCTCCCACCCCAAGCAAGCCCCTTCCAGGAACATAAGAATTTCTCTCATTTGGTAATTCCATTAGTCCATTATTTCAATAGATAGAACTTTTTTTTCTTTTATTTACATATGTGCATAGACCTTTAGGAGTTCTAACAAGAGATAGGCTACAGTATTTCACTAATGTGAAGGGCTTGTTTTTGCACATGATATTCTCTAACTTTCTCGAAGGTCCAAGACCCATGAATCTGTATACACAAAAGGAAATGATTTTGAATTCCCAAAACTGTTTCAACTTGGGCCATGTCATGGACTTTCTTTTTTCTTTTTTATTTTCAGACTTTTAAGCTTATGTATGATTCAAACTAAGCCAACAGTATTCCCCGAAAAGGTTTTTAGAGTACCCTGTATTGAACAGATATTTGTGTTAACCTATCGGCAAGTGTGTATAAATGGATTCTTCTGTCTGAACTATATGAAGTGTGTTCTCTTAGGTAAATGGGTACTCCATTTCTTGCCTGTTTTGCACAGTTATTTTGGTTAGCAATTCCTTGTCTATTTTCTTTAGGATATTCATAAGGCTAACCCAAGCTCTTTTCTGTGAAGGAATGGTTTTCTTTGCTTTTTTACTCTGTAGTTTTACAAAATTAACATCAAGTGCTACTTCTTGAGTCTTTGTTTGCTTTCTTTTAACTGTTAGTTAACACATATCATAATGTTAGGGTTTTTTAAAAATTAACAGAATAATTTTACATATTTATGGGTTACATTGTGATATTTTGATGCCTGTATGCAATAAGTAATAATCAAATCATGATATTTAGCACATTGAAAACCTTAAACATTTATTGTTTCTTTGTGTTAGGAACATTCAGAATCTTCTCTTCTAGCTATTTTTAAATATACAGCAAATTATTGTTAGCTATAGTTGCCCTACTGTGCTATAGAACACAAAAACTTAATCCTTCTAAATGCAGTTTTGTATCTGTTAAGCAATCCCTCTCTAGTACCTACTTTACTCAGCCTCTGGTAACCACTATTCTACTCTCATCTTTTTTGAGATAAACTTGTGTAGCATCCATATATGAGTGAGAACATATGGTATTAGAGTTTTTACATGTGTCTTTATCATTAGATTTTAAACTTCTTCAAGGCAGGAGCAATGACTTGCTCAGTTCTCCATTACCTACAGTAACACTTTAGTACCTTAAATATGAGTTAAACAAATTTGTGATAAGCAGGAACTCAATATATCATTTTTTTAACAGATTTGGTTCATTTGACTTGTACATCTTCTAAAACAGCAAGAGAAGATTTAGAACCAGTTGTACAGAAATTGTTTACTCCATATACTGAAACGGAAATAGGTAAGAAAAATAATCATGATTAAGTGATTCATTATGTAAAGAAAATGCAACCATTATATTACTCTCAGATATATTGTGAGGGTTTCTGCAACCTGAACTGAAATGTGGCATATTCAGCAACAAGTCTGATGTTTACTAAAATGGTTGAACACGGTGTCTGCCCCAACATAGGAAAAAATGTTCACGCTCCAATATTAAAAGAAAAATACACATCACACACACAAAACATGTATAATTAAACACGAAATGTATATTTAAATGCATATATGCTCACATGCACAGAGAAGACTATCAGGAAGTCCTTCAGTTTTGATGTGGATATGGAGAACTTTTCCTTCTGGTTTTCTTTCTCTTCCTTTCCTTTAAGGTAAAAGTTGATCAAACTGACAAAAGATTAAAATATTAATTAGCAAATGTGGCACTCCTTCCTAATAATTGTATTTTAATGCATAGATTACTAGTGATGTAATAAAATTTAACTCTCATAATTTATTTATTCGTGATGGAAAAGGATTTTTTTAAATTTTCTCCCCATAGAAGTAGAGCAAATATGGTATATTTTGTGCATAAGTGATCAAAAAATAGATTCCAGATGGATTATATTTTATGTGAAGGTGACTTTCAGTATAGGATTTGCATATCCATTTGAATTTTGGTCACTTTCTCCCATTGATCCATATGTCTTCATTTTCTTTGGATATTCTGTTTGTTCTGACAATCATTTATTTACTCCTACCTATTCTATTTCCCTTTAGCTCATCTCCTATGTGTGATGTTTGTTTTCTTAAAGCAGAGGTGATGCGCAGAGGGACGTTGATATTTGCAAAAGAAGACAAACTGCTTCATTCTTAGAAACTATCAGTGTAATGAATTTGTATGAGAGCTGCCCAAATAAAGTACAATAATCTGAAAACTTACTTTACTTTAGTTCGGAGTTGCATTTGTTTCATATTTTTATTTTCTTTATGTGAAAGTCTCAAGTGTTTGCATTATAGTTAAAATTTTTAACATAAAATGATGGCATATGAAAATATTTCTAAATATAGATACACTTACACCTTTCATATAAAACCCCTGAATTTCATTATCATTTCTGAAATTTGTCATAGTTTTTTGTTGTAATTTCATTTTGTGGTGGCTCCAAATAAGACACTAACTTTGACTCTTGAATTTTTAGTCTTTACTTGTTAAGTGTATTTAATTTACTTTTGTAAAAAATCAGGATAGAAGAAATTATATGTTCATTACTTAGCATTCTCTAGCCATTTTAGATTTTTAAACATTTATCTTAATGGTTAAAGTGATCCCATTTTGAAATGATGTATTGTTTAGAACCTGAGTGAAATTCTTTAGTATGAACTATGTGCTCAGAGGGGTCCTCAGGTGCACCGAGGCACTGAAAAGCTAGTTTTCACTGACACATAGGCCTTTTTATCATCAGGATGAGGTAGTGGTCATATTTTAATTAAAATGTCAGAACAAATACTGTTGGAGTTATTGAAAATGAATCACCAGATAAAGTGAGCACTGGGCCATGGCAGGTCAAAGAGGCAAAGTCACCTGGAGAAGAGAACTCAATTCATTTTCCTGCCTAAATGAGGAAGAAGGAACTTTATGAGCAGTATGAACTTTTAATACATTAAAGCACATTCTTCTCTGTAGCAAAAGGCCCTATTTCCACAGATTGATGGCTTTTATTATTTTTTGATTATTTGACAGTCTTACAAAACCGTTATGCTTTAGAGCATTGTGAATATTTTATTTTAAAACATGTACCAAAGGAATAACATTATTCAGGCTTCCTTTCTTTCTTTCTTTCTTTCTTTCTTTCTTTCTTTCTTTCTTTCTTTCTTTCTTTTATTTACTTGTTTGTTTATGTATGTATGTATGTATTTATTTATTTTTAGTTCTACATTATGTATGGTGTTGTGCTTTATAAGCCTTTGTGAAAGTCAGCTTAGTCACCTTGCAAGGTAGTTTATTTCTGAGGAAAAAAATGGTATTCTCTTATCAACTATAGTACTTCTTTGCCAGTGTATCTGTGACACACCAGTAGGGTTCTGAAAGTATTTCCTTTCTTTCTTACTTTTTCACTTTTTAAGAGATCAGCAAGAGCCCTTAAGAGATGCTATGGTTCAAGAAGCAGTTATGTTAATACTTTCTAAGAGTGCTGCCTACTGGGATCCTTTAAGAACATCCAAGATAAGACTAGCTTGTGGTCTGGTGGTTAAGGTGACTGGATCCCAGAGGGCTGACTGCACTGTTTGAGTCCCAAACCTGGTGGCTTGAGAAACACTGGGTTCATGTATGTGCATGTCCAAAATCCTAAATGCGGGGAGAGATAGAGGAGAAAGGATTGTGGTGTGTCCAGGCTTCATGTGGGGTACTTTCCCTCTCTCTATCCCTCTCCAGCAAGTGCATGCACCCTCTGGCAAATTTAAAAATATATAAATAAAAAAGAATACTGATATCCCTAAATCCATATCTACTTTCTAGACTCAAGAAATATTTGATGCTTTAATGCTAAATAAACATGATTCTTCAGGTGAGAAAATGAGGTGATTGCTCATTTTCATTGCTTTCATTGCTCATAAGTATATTAATTCTTCCAGACTCCAGAATATCTTTCAGAGCACTAAGAGAGGTTTGAAAAGTGAACAGTATTTTCCAGTCTCACTGGTAAAACCATCATGAATGATATCTTACTTTACCCAAAAAACTGAGGTTGTCAATACAGGGTAAAGAAGGAAGTTCATTAATGTCTTGAAACATGTGATATATGGTATAATTGCTGCACCATCTTCTCTCTTTTCCTCTGTTATACTTAGCATATGGAGTTCTCTCACTCTGTTTCATTTATTTTCAATCTCAAAAAGCAACTCTGCCTAAAAACTAAAATTCCCCTTATAGGTGTAGTCTGAAGCTGGTGGCTGGTAAGTAATTATTGAGCTATGAAGGCAAATGTCTTCTCTTAGTTCCATTCTGTATATATTATATCCAGACTCAGGGCTGTGACAGTCTCCACTGCTCTGCCAGTGTTAGTAAAACACTTCACCCTCCCTAAAGATGACATGCAGCTGTAGAACATTTCTTGCATGCATTTCATGTATTGTTCTTTTCTTCCTCCTACCTTATTCTGTACTTTAATTTGCCCAAGGTCTTACTCTTAATTACCTACTACTTATTTAGTCCTTCATACTTTCTAATTGAGTGAAATGAACTATTGCAAAAAATCACCTCTATTCCTAGCAACTTGTGATGGACATCCAGCCAAAGCTCAGCAACTTTAATATTTTTTGACAATTGTGCACTTTAGAATTCCATGTTATTTTTCCAGCTATCTCTCTGCCTTCTAGCTGACCTCAAAGAAAGATGAAGCAATTACATGTCTCTTTGAAGGTTTTAAGGTCAGAGTCTGATAACTCCCTTGTATCCAGAATATTTATCTTCAGCCTATGTCAACTTTTCACCTTCCTCGTGGTTTCTTTTCAAAGGCTCAACCTCTATGAAATTTCTTTCCTCTAATCTATTGGATTATTCATTTCCCCCAACTTTTATTGAGTGAAATCCTTTCTCTGAGCTGGAACTTCTGTGAAATATAAGATAAGCTCTTACTATATGCTTAGAAATGACCTAGCCAATATTAAAGGCCTTCCAGATCTTAGCCCACTTCTTTTCAGTGCTCCCCATGTCTGATATGACAAATCTGAGCAGTATGTTTAAGTATCTTCCCATAAAATTTAGTGAAACTAAACACCAATCAATTTACTAAAAACCATATGGTTTTAGCTGTGAAATATGAGTTCATTTATTTTGTCAATAAATAGGTTTTGCCACCTAAATTGTGCAAATGAAGCTAGCCTACATGAAGTTAGTGATGCCTTTAAACTTACAGATTTTAGCCTCAGAAAGGGGCACCTTGAGATCTCTCCTTCCACTCAGAATTTTTTTTTTCATTTTATCACACTAATAATTATAGATTATTCCAGATGAACTGGGAAAATAACATGTTTGGTATTCTTATAGTGGAGATATTTTAAATTAAATATAATGAAATTTTATGTATCCTGAATTAGAGAATAGGATGTTCTTGCTAATTAAATATTGCAATTAGCTGAAAGTTTCTCTACATTGATTATCAACTTAACAATAACTATAATGAATTAGATACCTTTACCATTTTCTTTATGATTCACAAAGTTCCTGATGATTTTAGGTAATTTTCATAAACATCTATAGTTGTACAGAATTTGAATTTTTGTTCAGATTCAGGCTAAACAAAACTCTTTAGTTAGTAAACAGCTGTATTTTGTTTTCCACCAAAGAATATTTACTTACAACACTTCTAAAGAAGAGAGGCAGAGGGAACCAGCAGTTAGCGTAATGGCTTTGTCGCTGGACTCCCATGTAGTCGACCACGGTTCGTGTCCTGGACCCGGTAGCTTAAAACTCACGCCGGGCGCGTGTGCGTGCGTGCCCAAGATCCCGAGAGGAGAATGGAGGAGAAGGGATTGCGGTGTGACCATCCTCCCTGGGGGGTGATTTCTCGCTTTCTGTCTCTATGTCTCTCTCTGTCTGTCTGGCGAGCGCACGCGCCCTACAGTGAAAATCTCTCAAAAAAAAAAAAGAGAGGCAGAGAAATTATTATCAAGATAGCAATAAATAAACTTTAGTCACTGAGGTTAATAAGATTGGACTTTTGTATAAGGTCATCATACTTTGATTCTACCTAAGAACAGGATTTAAGCCATTCCGAAATTATTTATTGAGCATCTCTTGTGTCCTAGACCTTGTATTATGGAACAAAAAATAAAAAGGGAGGAGAGTAAGGACTAAATCTGTTGCACCTGTGTACCCCCAGTTCCTAACTCAATGCCTAACATACATAACAGATTCTTGCTGTTGAGTAGTAGAAAGAACCTGTGCTCAAAATGATATTCGACTTATAACTTCATTTTTGTTATGTTTTTGTTGGTTGTGATTAATTTTTAAATCCATTAGGACAAAGTATTGGAATGTGAGTTAGGATACCAAAGTTTCAATACTGCATATACTAGTTTTTAATAATAGCTTTATTGAGATATCATTCATATACCCTATGATTCACCCATTTAAATTGTAAAATTCAAAGATTTTTAGTATATTCTCAGAATTGTCCAATTATTACCACAGTCGATTTTAGAATGTTTCCATTATCCTCAAAATAAACCCCATACTCATTAGCAGTTACCCTCATTTATCCCATTTCTCCCAGCCCTATGTAACAAGTAGTCTACTTCCTGTCTCTAGATTTGCTTGTTCTGGACATTTCATAAGCACATACTATTGATTTCCTGTATAATTTATCATGTCAGTTTGTCCATTTGAAACATAAAATCAATTTGTGGTATTTTCTCACTTCATAGAGATATTTTACAGATGGTTTTAAGCTTGATATTGGTGAGAAGTAATGTAAATCCAAAGAAGAATGATTAGTGTTAAATCTAATTAACTTATTAATAAAAATAATTTTTAAACTTTAACTTGTCTTAGGTTGGAAAACCATCATTACATGAGATATCATGAACATATATTAAGTATGTGAATGCAAATGTACTAATCGTTTACTTATAAAGCTTTACTATAATGTCTAGTTATGACTATTGCTAATTAGCTACGTAGTGTAGTAATTGACAAGAATATTATGGTTTAGAATGTAAATAAAATTTCTTTCTACATTTAGAAAATGAAGAAGTTGAAAAGCCAAGACTTCTATGGGCTCTTTACTTCAATATGAGAGATTCCTCAGACATCAGCAGGATCTGTTATAATGGCTTACCATCCAATGTTCATGTCTGCTCTGGTGCAGACTGTGGTTTAGGAAATGAGAATGCAGTCAAGCAGGTAAGCCTGTGAGTCTTTCTCAGTTTTATAGAAAGAATTTGATGATAGGAAAGTAATTATTTTCTTCTGGGAGAAGGGAAATAAGTTAGAAAAGTACTCTCATTGAATACCATCCCTGTCATTTGTTCCTAAATTATTTTTCTGTGAACTACAAAGCCATTTTAAACATACTTAAAATGTAGTGTCAGATATTTTTATTTCCTTGAGTATAATTATGTGCAACAGACCATTGTGAGACTGTAGGTGAAAGATGTTAGGAATTCATATTTATAAAAATAAATTTGTAATGTGAGTACTCGAAAGAAATACTGGTTTTAATTTAAAACAGTTGGCCTCTCAGTGTATTTATTTGAACTACACAAACTATTTTGCCCTTGATAACCTGAGCCATTTTAAGAAGAGCCTAACTAGTATGGCATGCAAAATTAATTTTGTGGTAGTCTTAATGCCTTTTTTTTATCTTGAAAAAGAACGTATATGGTTTTTCTCAAATCACATGGTTCTGTTAATGTTTTGCCACTAGCCAATGTCCCTCAAGAGCTACCATTGGGAACCAGCAGTTAGCGTAATGGCTATGTCACTGGACTCCTACGTAGTCGACCGCGGTTCATGTCTCGGACCCGGTGGCTTAAATCTCACGCCGGCCGCGTGTGTGTGTGCCCAAGATACCGAGAGGAGAATGGAGGAGAAGGAATTGCGGTGTGACCATCCCCCCTGGGGGGGGTGATTTCTCGCTTTCTGTCTCTATGTCTCTCTCTGTCTGTCTGGCGAGCACACGTGCCCTATAGCGAAAACCTCTCCCCCCCAAAAAAAAGAGCTACCATTAAAGTCCCTGGTGAGTGTGGAATTGAGGTGAAATTTTGTGACAATATTTCTAGTCAGGGCTATGAAGAGGTATGGGCTGATACAAGCTGCCAAAAGTGAACTATGATTCTGTAGAGCCGAGACTCATATGCATATATAAATATACTTCTCTGCTCTTTAAAGGAATTAAAAAAAAAAACAAAATGTTTTTTGAGGCAGAAATCTAGACTTTCCAAAGGTAGAATTGACGCATCTGTTCATTAAAGCAATAAATCAGTAATTTAACATTACTATTAGACCATAGCTGAAACTTTCTCTGGCACCAGTGGTGAGGATCTTATAGTAGCAAATGGTACTTTGAGCCTTTAATCTAATTTTTAGTCATAGCAGCAAGGCTCTGCATTATGACCATTGTCTAGACATTTAATTTTTTTTTTTTTTTGCCAAAATTCTTCATTTCTCTTCTTCAGAGTCTAATGTACTATTATCCTGGATAATCATATTCAGCAAGTGACATCAAATAAAAGCAAGAAGTAACATCTCTCATTCATAATTCATTATATTAGTTTAATAGAAACTCAACATGCTTCAAGATTCCATTTGTGGCTTAAAATGATTGAGTCATTTTTACTTTGATATTCCAATTTTTTTCCAAGCAAACATTGCCAGCCTGTTTTAGCCAGGCAACTTAGGTCATTTTTATCCCCAAGTTAACTAATTTTTATAAACCAAACTGAAAGGCCTTTTAAATAAAGGTGTATAGTACAAGTATTAATGTGATCTAAACTGCACAGTGGAAGATTATAATTAAGATATAATTTTATCATGAAATAATTTGCTTCCCAAAAAGATAACTTTCAGAGGTAAAGTGTTATCACAGTAGAAAACAGTGTAATACTAGTTTGGGTCCTAATTATTTATTTATTTTAAGGTTCTTTTTTTTTTTTTTTTTTTTTTTTTTTTTTTCCCCACATGGGGGTTTACCACCCCTTGGAGAGAAAATCAGAGACAGTGAGAGGGAAAGTGAGAAATCACCCCCCTCCCCAGGTGGGATGGCCATGTTGTAATCCCTTCTCCTCCATTTTCCTCCTGGATTTCTGAGTATGCACATACATGTGCCTGGCCTAATTTTTAAGCCACTGGGTCCAGTACTCATACCACAATTAGCCATGTGGGAATCCAGTGCTTTATCCACCATGCCCCTGCTGGCCCCATGGGTACTAATTATTATATGCTATTAAATGTAAGTACTTTTAAATTTTTTTATATAGCTTTTAACCCCATGTATCTGTTTTGGGTGAAATAGTATAGTGCTTGCACTAAAGAGCATCGATAATATTTATAGTCAGTTTGTTCAGATAAACTGTGTTCTAATCTCAGTATGTCATTCTAAGATTATCCTGACCACTAATTGGTGATTTCCATTTTCCAAATTAAGATTATTATCTATAAAACTTCTCAGAACATCACATACACTTTGCCCCCAGGTATGAAACCCAACCCCCTACATCTTTTCCCCCCTCTCTTTTTAAGGAGGTAAAATGCTTAATTTTACCAGCCAGCACATTTAGATCTTTCCTTATTTGTAAATGTACAGTTTGAATAATGTAGACCTTACTCCCTTATGAAACTGTTAATGATTTGAAGATACACAGAAAATATAAAGTGATCTGTGTTTAATACTTGCTACTAAAATTGTGTACAAGAGCACACCAAAACTTTCCCTGTTATCACTACAATGATGCTAGCCTATGTGATAGTTGTGACTTTTTGTGACACATGACATCTCTTTTCTTGGTTCAGGTAGTGTCCCATTTTTCTTTATGTATTGAATAAACAGATTGGTCACATCATCCCCATTCCCATGACATAGATAACTTACTCCTCCTTCAGGATCCCTGACCCACTAGGAGTTGTGACTAGCATGGGAACAAGAATAATTCAGTAGTACTATACCACTGTATTATGCTTCAGGTATGGAATGGGTTATATTGGCTGATATTGAGTTGGGCTAGCTCTAACCACCAACAATTTAAACACCATTTAAAATGTCGTTTTATGGACAAATTATAAACTCATTTGTGACTATTGGCATACAGTCCATTTGTAAGTTGGAGGCTAGCTTTATAGATTGTATGAACTATCAAGTTGCTCATATATTACAGTGTCATTCACTTTCTTTTTTATGACATTGAAGGAAAGAACAATTTTAGGTATCATATTTTATGTAGTTACCATTCATTTGAACAGTTTCTTTGTGTTAGACACTATCCTTAGTATCTTATATATTTTACCTCATTTGTTCCTCAGAATAATCCTATGAGGTAAGTATTCATGACAACCCCATTATACAGATAAAGAAGCTAAGACAAATAGCTTGTCCAAAGATAACATAGTAATTTTTAAGCCAAGATTTAAACTCTAGTCTGTTGAATCTGAGCACTTGAATACTCATCCCGTGTACTGTGCTACTTTCAACTTGTGAATGTGGATACTTCCTAAATGCATTATGGTGCCATGTGGGAGTCCAGCAATGTAACCATTACGATCTGCTGCCCCCCCTTTTAATTTTTTAAACCACATGAAACTTCACCTTTTGAGCTAACTTCTGGTTTAAAAAGGGTGAGGAGAATTAAAAATTGACAATTATCTACTCTAGGATTATAACGTGGTATATTTGGCAGATGAAATGCAGCAGATCAAGAAACATTAGGCCCAGGTTTGTGCCTCGGGACCTCTCTATTCACAGTTGGCCTATCTGTGCTCATGATCCAGGCTGGCTGAGACTGGGGGTGGATTGTGGTGTGAAGACTTTTGGGAGTGCCTCTCTGTTTGTCTGTCTGTCTCTCTGTTTCATGAAGGAAATAAATAAAACCTTAAAAGCAAGATGCATTAGGTAGACCTTCCAAAACATGGCAGTTTACCCTAAGCAGTTACAGGAGAGACTTGGAAAAGTCTTGAATCTGACTGTAGGAAATTGTCATCAGCAAATTCCAGGGACAGATGGGCTAAAGATGTAAGTTCCACAAGCAAGTAGAACACAAGAAAGGGGAATGTAGCAGCCTGCGGATGGTGGCAATCTCAGAAGACAGGTTATTCGTGACAATGATATATGAAAATAGAGTGGAACCTAGCCACAGGGACTAGGGAGGGTACATGGGAAAATTTGCCCTGTAGAGAGGATGCAAAGGGAGGCAAGGTGTTAGACACAGAGTAAAAGTAGTAGTTTTGATAAGTATACTAATTATTATAATTATACCCAGTATTTGTATAGTATAAAGTTTTAAAATTTATTTCATATATATAATTTTAAAAATTATTGACATTCTGGGACCAACGGATGATATAATGGTTACATTGCTGGACTCCCATGTAGTCAGCTGCAATTTGAGTCCCGGACCTGAGAAGCAGCAAGCTCTATCTTAGGCATCAGAGAACTTTGCAGAAAGGGATACAATAGATAAGTAGCAATTCTTCATCCAAATGAAAGACAATAGTATTGAAACTTTTCAGATGTAAAGAATAGTCTCTTCACTAGCCCAGGATGTAAGCATGATATGTTTAAGAAGGTACAAATAAGCAAGTATTGGTGAAGCAGAAAATCTGACCAGTGGACATTGGGCTAAGTGGTAGATGATAAAGCCAGAGAAGGGAGGCTTAAAGAATTTTCATGCCATAATAGAACTCTTGGATTTTATCCTATTGGTAATGGGAGTTAGTGAGGAATTTTAAGCTGGAGAGTAGAACATACAGAATTTCACTTTCTGTAGACCACTCTGAGGGTCACATGGAGATGGATTACAGTGGGGAACTGGAGATGCAAGGAGACTGAGACTATTATAGTTGTCTAGGTGAAAGCTAATGTGTGCCTGGGCTATGTCAGTGGGGAAGGAGCATAGAATCAAGAAATAGAAGATAAAATTGACAGGATTTGGTGACTGTTTGTATGCAGACTAAAAGGGAGAGAGAACTACAGGCAAAGTAGAACTGTAAGATAAGAGACCATTAGGGAACTGAAGTTCAAGGTAAGGGCTTTGTCTGACCTAGGTCCTTCTGCTTTTACAATGGGGACTAAATACCTCCAGCAAAGAGCTATAATGAGTTCCCAGGGTGAAGAGCAAAGTAGGCATCTGTGAGGTTTAATTTCAAACTAGCTACAGTATATAGTACAGTATTATTAATATTATTTTTTTGGAGAGGTTTTTGCTATAAGGCACGTGCACTCACCAGAAAGACAGAGAGAGACAAAAGGCAAGAAATCACCCCCCAGGGGGTGGCCATGCTGCAATCCCTTCTCCATTCTCCTCTAGGGATCTTGGGCATGCATGCACATGTACCCGGTGTGAGTTTAAGCCACCAGGTCCAGGACTCAAACTGCGGTCGACTACATGGAAGTCCAGCGACATAGCCATTACCCCAACTGCTGGTCCCTAGTACAGTATTATTAACTGTGGTCACAATGCTATACATTATATCCCCAGAATTTATCTTATAACTGAAAGTTTGTACTCTAACCAACATGTCCCCATTCCCGCACCCCAATCCTTGGCAACCAGCCTATTCCCCCCTATTTCTTGAGTTGGTTTTTTTTAGATTCCATATATATATATATATGGAATCATGAGGATTTTTTTTTCCTGTGCTTTTAATCCTGGTTCATTGTGTTGTCACAAATGACAGGATTATTTACTTGAATGTGATAAGAGGGAAGATTTTAAGTTTTCTCACTACACACACATACACATGTACACTCATACATACAGAAATGCACACAAAATTTTAGCCATAGGTGCTGATAGATGTATTAATTAATTTGATCATGGTAACTGTCATACACTGTACATCAAATCTTCATGTTGTACACCTTGAGCATACAATTTACTTGTCAATTAAATATGTTAAGTTTTTAAACATATACCCATTATAAATTCAAGTTTCAAAAATAGACCCTCGATGCATACCCAAAAGGGAAAGAAAGTATCTTCCTTTCCTTGTCCACACAGAAGATCAAAACTTTGTTTATTACACCTTCACCCATCCCCAAAGACTATTAGCCTTAGGACCAGCAGTTAGCATAATGGCTATGTTGCTGGACTCCCACGTAGTCGACCGCAGTTCGCGTCCCGGACCCGGTGACTTAAAACTCACTCCGGGCGCGTGTGCGTGCGTGCCCAAGATCCCGAGAGGAGAACAGAAGAGAAGGGATTGTGGCGTGGCCATCCCCCCTGGGGGTGATTTCTCACTTTCTATCTCTCTGTCTCTGTCTTTCTGGCGAGCGCACGTACCCTATAGCAAAAACCTCTCCAAAAAGAAACAGACTATTTGCTTTAATCATCTGATACAGGAGGCTACTGATTGTTAACTGCCAGATGGTAAATTTGGGTGTTTTTGCAGCCTGTTAGGTCTCTATTACAACAACTCAGCCCTGCCATGATCTTGCAAAAGGAGCCATAGACAGTAGGTAAATGAATGCATATAACTGTGTTCCAATTAAATTGTATTTTCAAAACTAGATGTCAGGTTAGATTTTGCCTTTAGGCCATAGTTTGTTAACTCTTGGCCTAATGGATAACCTTGTATGTACATCAGGAAGAAGGGTGGAGCAGTACAGAAACACATTATAGCATTTTCTTTTTTTTTTTTACTTTTTTATGTCATTTAGTTTTTTTATTTATGTATTTTTTAATTTATTTATTTTTACATTTTTCCACAAACATTCACTTTACATATCAAAAAATGTTTTTGCTCATACTCCATAGTTCTTGACAGTTAATAAACAACTTTCAAAATTTCAAAATACTGAATTTTAAAGATAATATTCCATTTTTTTTTCTTTTTTGGAGAGGTTTTTGTTATAAGGCATGTGTGCTAGCCAGAAAGACAGAGAGAGACAGAGAGATGAAAAGGGAGAAATCACCCCCCGGGGAGGATGGCCACGCCGCAATCCCTTCTTCTCCATTCTCCTCTCAGGTTCTTGGGCATGCACACACACACGCCTGGCGTGAGTTTAAGCCACTGGGTCTGGGACTTGAACCATGATCGACTACATGGGAGTCCAGCGACATAGCCATTACACCAACTGCTGGTCCCATATTAAAAATATTTCTTATAATTTTGTATAATTTTGTTTATGACTCTATAACAGCATATTTGAGTAGTTGACATGTAAATATTTTCTAAAAAATATTTAAAACCATAGTTTCTGCTGTTATAGAGTCACATTATAGCTTTTAAAAGGAGCATGTAACTTTAACTTAAAACCCATTAAGGGCTCCTTATTTTATTGAAAATAGAGAGTGTAAGCACTCTGGCATCTGACAGTAAGGTGTGTTCATCACAATAAAAGAGGGACTCTATTTAGAATAGAATAGTAATGCTACCTGCCACATTGATTTCATACACACACACACACACACATTATTATGATGTTAAGATTATGGTTTTTTAAATTCTCTTACTTTGTCATACTAACTACAGATTAACTCTTGACATTTTACATATATTATTATTAAGAATAACAATAGCTATCATAGATAGAGCTCTATATGATAGCCATTTTATAGATGAGGAAAACAAGGCTCAAAAGTTGAATTAGCATTCCCCAAATCACAAGGCTGCTAAATTGCAGAGCCTGACTTCACACTGAGGCCATCTGCTCAGACTCCATGAACTTAAATACCACATTAGACTCCTTAAAGTACAGAGAGGAGGGAAACGATATCTGAAAAGCAAATAGTTGAACAATAAAGCACTTTCTTGATTTGACCAATGATTTATTAAAATTATTTTAATAGCTAAATTAGGCTGTACATATATCACAAATAGGCTCTTTGGAAAATTATATAGAGAATATTAAGGGAAATTGTACTTCTCTTAATATATAGAATGAATCTGCTTAAATTCTCAGTAATATGAACAGTTGATAATGAATTCGATCAAGCACTTCCATCTTTCAAGAGTGGACCTAAGTACATGTATAAAATTTTAGGAAGAATTTACAGAATTCTGAAAGCACTTTCAAGTTCATATATACTGGTAATGTACTATAACCTGGCTGAAGAAAATTTTAAGAGTAACTCTTAAAATTTTTTAGGTAGTAGCACAAAATGCATGTACACTTTAAGCTAATGTTCAAAAGCTATTATGTCCTGTCTTTTCTGGCCAGGCTGAAACACTTTTCCAGCAAATCTGCCCTAATGAAGACTTCTGTCCACCCCCACCAAATCCTGAAGACATTGTCCTGGATGGAGACAGTTTACAACCAGAGGCTTCAGAATCCAGTGCCATACCAGAGGCCAACTCAGAGGCTCCCAAAGAAAGCACAAACCTGGGAAGTCCAGAGGAGTCCTCTGAATAATGGATATACAACAAACTGGAGACCCCCACTTTGGAAATTCCAGCTGGCCTGTGTCTTCTTGATGGAAGGACTATTTGAAAAATCTTAGAAAGCAGCAGCTAGTTGCCAAGCAGAATTATAAAGAGAAATAACTCATAGAAATTCAAGAGGGGTTTTTCCTTAATAAGGACATTCCAAGAACACAAAATACTTGTAAGCACATTGACTTGCCAATTTCAAGATACCAAACCTGTGGGATTAGCAGATGAAAAGTAAAAGTAAATCGATTCCCAGGAATATAGCTATAGATATGAAAGTGATCCTATGCATTATTAATAATTCTGTGGTTGGTATTAGGACAACTTTTGCTTGCCACTTTGAATTGTTGTTTGAAAGCCACATCTTCAGAGTCAATTCACATAATTCCTTCATTGTTTGAATTATATTTCCTTTATGGATATTATTAGTATCTTGACATAAATGATAAAAGCATATATAAAATTTTTGAGAAAAACTGAAGTATCCATGTTCCAGGCAATAGCCTGTTTGGAATAGAGTTTTGATTTGTATTCTTTTCTCTGTTGAGAAGTATTAAATATGCTAATATTAAGGCATTTAGACATTTTTACAAACAAATCATGAATCTATTACTTTATCTTTTAATGTTAATGATATTTGTATGTTAATTATTCACACATTAGGAAAGCTCAATAATGAAATGAAAAAATTGAAGGAAAGGTTTGGATAGACTCATTGGTATTTGGAGATTCTGAATAGTCAAGTGATGGGTACACTAGCCTAAATGTCTACAAACCCAATTTAGTCTTGGCTGTATTACTAATCATATTAGGCAAATTGTTTAACATACGAGCCTCAGTTTCTCCATATGTAAAGTGGTTAGTAATACCCTGCTGTCTGAATGAGAATGATTATGAAGATATATGTATTGCCATCATTAGAATGGATTTTCTAGGAGAAAAATTGCTTCTGATTTTTCCCATTGGCTTGGGGATGAATGTCAAAAGTTTCATGTAAATAATTACTTCCTATCAACTCCTTGACAAAATGATGATCAGTATTTTTTTGAATCAAGCTTTTTAAATGAACATTTGTTTCTTAAATTAGTATTTTGTAGTCTCATAAACTACTCACATAATAATGTATGGAATAGTGGTTTTGGAATTGTATTAAGGAAAACAAGGAAATTTCTTCATGTTCCTTTTCCAGTAGGTAAAACTAAAAACACCAAGGACTCTGAATAGAGCATGAAAGTTGGTAAACCCTAATATACACTCCACATAAAAATCATAGGGCTGTAAATAAACAGCTAATTTAGTTATGGTGACAGTGCCTATATTTAAATTTTCCCAAATGCCAAGCTCTGGTGGACTACATTTTTTAAGCAATAATTGGACTTGCAACTGCCCATAAATAAATAAACTCAAAGTTTCTCGTTGCAAGGTCTGGCCTGTGTTGCCTGCTGGAACCATGGCTCCAGTGGCAAGCACATAATTCTTACACATTTCAGCTGCAGCTGGTCTTTGACCTTACCAGATTTCAGAGGTCTTAAAGGAAGCTAGCTGTGGCAGGCAATAGGTCCATTGGAAATGGGAAGAACCAGGAATGTAGATACAGATGTATCTTAATCCAGAAGAAAGGAAAAACATCCCAGCCTCTTAGATTGCTCCTCATCCTCCCTCCCAATGTACTGCCTGTTCCTTTTCTCTTTAATCTCCTT